TTTATATATATATATATTATATATATATTCTTCCAGCTTGCGTGCGCGCGCACACACACACAAGCACATACAAACACACCTACATTAACCACAGTCTCAGAGTTGGTCAATAACTCACCAAAACGTAACTTAAACACGATGAATTTAGGAGATTAAACAATTTCATTAATATTGAAATGGCTCTCCTGTCTGGGCTGCCTCGCTTGAGATGCAAGCGCACGTTTTTCAATATTAACAGAAGTGCTTGAAGGAAAGAATAATGTCACCTTCTTAATTCGGAAGAAATAACCAGGAGGAGGAGGTGGGTGGGAGGGGTGAGGGAGGGATGCTGACCTGTCTCTGGGGGCAGATCAACCCTCTGCTGCTGAACCCCCTGGACCCGGAACCTCTGCCAAGTTTGGCTGGAGGCGGCCGAGCTTGGCAGAGCTGTGCGCTTCAGCTCCTTAGGAGGTGCGGCCTTGGGGGGGTTACTAGGTTCGGCCCAGTTGGGCTTGAGGGTCCGAGGATGGGAGGAGCTGGGGAGCGCAAGAGCCCGAGGGACCTCTGGCAAGGAGCAGTGGTGAGGCTCGTGTTTCCCAGACGGAAAGGCGTTGGCCCACAGTTTTCCTTCTTCAAAGGCAGCTGGTCTCAGAGTTACAACACAGAAGGTACTCCTGTGGGCGAGGCAGGAGCGCTCCTGGGAAGGAGTGGTGCCAGGATCGGAGTCCTCTTAGTAAATATGTGAATACTGATATATAGAATATAGAAAACATACTGAGTGATATGGATTCGGGATATGGAACGATAGGAGTGAAAGATCTCTGTTCCCCAGTGACAGCCAGGAAGATTTGCTCTACCGGTGGGTGGGTGTGTGTCCGACCTTGAGCGCGAGCGTGCACACACACACACACCACGTTGAGGGTGGGGGATGGGGAGAGAAATGTTTTCTTGTTTTAACAATTGGCATTTTGTTGCCTTGCAAAGGGCCTTTGTATGGCTGTCGAAATCATTGCTTGGAGTAAATAGAAGATTAACTAAATTCTGAGGGGAAACCTTTGGGTTAAAAAAAAAAAAGCCAAGTTGGAATAAATCTTTGTCTATCTCCCCAGGAAAGTTGTCCCCACCAAGTCTGGGACATGCAAGGTTACAAGTAGGAATCCGTGCCTGAGGGATCTTCAAAGTTTGGCCAGGGTGGGGTTGGGAGGTGAAGCCCATTGCCTATGCCCAGTGTTAATGAAGGAAATCGAACCTAACAGCACAAGTTGGAGGAGTTGTGAGCTGCACATTGAAAACTAGCCCTTTGCTACAAAGTGTGTCTTGGTTCCTACTGAAGATCTACAAAGCCCAGGGGTGGGGGGAGGGCTTGCATGCTATTTACGGCCTTTTAAGACTGCT